CTCCAACGATTGAAGTAAGTATAGTCTGGATCAACCCCCTTGCCTCTGAGGAGCTCCCAAAGTAGCTCCGCCGATCCCGACGGAGGCACAGTGAGCGTATGCACAAGACCGTTGGCAGGCCTGAGGTCAACGGGCAATGCAAGATGGCCAGCGGGTGCCAGGTCGTCTGTGAGCACCAACTGGGGTGTGGGGAGTTCTGGAATCGGAGTGTTGATGAAGTGCACGCTTCGGAGGGGATAAGGAATCGCCCTCATGGCATCTTGAGTGAATTCCTGCTGTCCCCAGGTAGACAGGGCTCCGCGTGACAGGTGGTCCATGCGGTGCTCAAAAACCGTGTACAAGCAGCGGCTGGCAGGTGGCATGCGTCTTGCAGCTGTTTGCACCTGTTCGTCTTGGTCGCCCTGCAGTCTAGTGAGGACTGGTGCACTCATGTCTGCCTCTCTTGTTTGCCTCTCGCAAGGACTGTCGGCGACTGCAGCGGATCGGGGACCTGGCTGCGCGCTCCCCGAAGTGGCTTGTGTGAAGTTAGGCAATGCATGGCAGCTGGGGGGCCGCGGCAGATGGAACGTCACGCAGCACGTGGCAGTGGTGACAGTGCACGCAACAGGCGGCACATGTCTGCTGAAAGGCTGTGTGCGCTGTGCGGGCTCGAAGAATTCGGCTCGCGGGGCAAAGGAAACATGCTTACGGCAGGCCCTTTGTACAGTATTTACACAGCAGACAGAATGTACAAAATGTACAGAATCCTCAGGCGTCCTCAGAATAGCTGGCCTCAGATGCTGGCTCGAAAGACGGTCTCGAGCAAAAAGCAGTGCACCGCCCATTGCGTCTAGACCTCGCGACCCTCTGTCCATGCGGTCGGCGGAGTCCAGGAAAATGGACGGTTGCACGCTCTTCTTGCCCGAGCTCCGAAATGCGCCATGCAACGGGTCACAGCTCGTAGAAACCACAGCTGCCGTGAAAGGTTGAGCGATCTGGCAATCCGCCTCATACTGTAGTATACGGTCATCGAATTCATATGTAGTGTGGATCCCAAGCCTTGTTAGCTCCACCTCATATTCCCTTCGCAGCCCAAGAACTCCTGCCATGGGCGGCGCTGTAAAATCCGGCTCGTGCTCGACAGAGTGCCTCCTTGGTAGGCCGGGCTCCATGTCGAGCGAGGTCGGCCCCACATCACCCATAAGGCTACATGTGGGGCCTAGCCAGGGGGCTCCTTCTTGGGCTCCTCCGGCTTGGCTCCCTGGGCGGCATCCGTTTTGCGCCGCCTGGGAGACCGCTCTCTGTCCGTCTGCATGGCCGTGGCGACGCTTGCCGCGGCGGCCAAGTTCGCTGCTTTCAGGCCCTCGGAAATGGCAGCCTCCTTCGCCACCATCTCCTCGCGCAACTTCTGTTGCTCCTCGGCCTGCTGGATCGCCAGATTCACCATCTCCTCGGCCTCGTCCATGTCCTCCGAGTTCACCGAAATGGCATCCGACTGCTTGCCTGCAGCAGTCAACTTGGACAAAGCTGCTGACGCCTCGTTGAGCTTCTGCTCCCATCCTTGTTCCGCTGTGTCGAAGCTCTGCAGAATGCGGTTCTTCTCCTCCAGGTGGCCGGCCCAAGTCTTTGCGAGCTTGCCCAAGAAGTCGGACCAGCTCACCAAGTACTCGCGTCTCTGAGTCTGCACCTTGCGCAGCTCCTTCTTGGCAGCTGTCTGGGAGGAGACGAGGCGATGTAGCGTTTTGCTCTCCGTCGAGGGATCCCCGCCAGCATGGGAGTCGATGATCTCCCTGATCGCAGGCGGCAGATCTTCCCGTGACTTGCTCAGGGCTCCAAGCAAGTTCTGCAACACCAAGGCTTCCCCCGAAGGCGTCGAGGGGGTAGAGGCCGGCTGTGTCTCCTTGGGCAGATTGACGGCTCCCACTGATGGGGCCGAAGGAAGTTCCCAAGCCATCTCCTTGGTATTGCCAGCCGGGGCGTTCGTAGGTGCCTTGCCACCCTTCTGCTGTCCTTTGGCCTG